GCTGGCTTCTTTTCTGCAATTGCTTAAATTACAGTCCACCTGCAACGACCATTTATTTGCCTGATTTTCATCTGCAGCTCAAATTAAATTATTTTATTAAAAAATTATGATCAGAATTGTTAATGGGAAAGGAGAACCCCTTAAAACTTGCCTATCAATGAGTGTCTCTGTACCTCAGTTGCTAGTAGTGCCCAACTAGTATCTTGGAGGCTCTGTGGGTTCAAATCCTTTCAAAGCCTGAATTTTTTCAAGTTTCTTTTCTGCAATTTCTTATTAATAATGAATTACAGTCAACCTGTGAGGATCATTTCTTTGCTTGAATTTCATCTGCAGGTCAACTGAAATCTATTCCTTTCAAAATAAGGACTTTTGTAAGAATTTAACAACTTGTTAATGTCTCCATTTGCCAATAAGTATATAAAAAAACTGAAATTATTTCTCTAATATGGTTGTTGCTTTCTTTATAGCAAGTGACACAATGTCAGTTGATAGGAAACGGTTTATTCGGTAGCACTGATTGTCTGTGATTCCTTCGAAGAACAACCTTTGGGGCCAGTTGCAGAGGTTTCAAGTAAGTTTAACATCTCAGAGCAAAATATTATATCTTTAATTATTCCTTTTAAAAATTGAGGAAATTCCTGAAATGGCCATGAGCATCAAACCTTGAATAACTCTCACTAAAATGGCGAAGAAAGAGTATGTTCAGCTGTAGAAATAAATAATCAGACCTTTACCTTATATCTTACATGTAGGTGATTTCTATTCCCTAAAAGCCGACTCAGTGCTCGTAAAAACGCCCAAAATGGATTCAAGCTGTTTTGTCCGAGGCGGCTCGGGGAAGGTTAACATGCCATCTTTCTTCACGTGTCCATTGAAGAGAGGCGCTTGGAAAACTGATTCAAAATGGCTCTTTAAACGTTCCAGTTTCGTCTCATCACACTGAGGACTGCAGAGTGCTGACCTCGCCTTTTAGTAAAGGAAGAAGCCTCACAGGCAGCGCGCCCTTGAGGCTCTGACTGCTCCACGTGATCGGGTGGGCGTGCGCAGATGGGAGGGAAACAGTTCTCTGGCAGACATTAGAGGGGTTTTAAGAAAACCACAACTGCAACGGCAACGGGAACGTCACTAAACAAAAGGTTTAATGAATAGAACAATGGCTTTGCAAGTGCGTTATAAATTTTTGTAAATTTCTCTGCGTCCTCTGCAAAACTATAACGTGAAATCACCAAACTTTGCGTTGTTTGGAGAACGTGAACGACGACGGTTAATTTTTTTAAATTTCAATTTCTAATTTAACGCCGTGTTCCTCATTCAATTTCGTTATAGATTTGACAGTGAAAAACAAACTAAATGACTTTAGAGTAACGCGTGATTCGTAAGTAAAATAAAGGTCCACTTTTTAACCGACCTTGTCCACGGCATCGACGTTGTCGTTTATTAAACTCGCTATTGTTCATGTGTGGCACAAACTGCAATTTGAACAGTAAATAAGCGAACTACGGCAAAGGAAGCTAGTTTGTGGTGGTTTTTGTTAAGGGAGAAACACGTGTAAGTACATCGAGTGAGTCTGTGAGTTTTAGTCTTTCTAAATCTCTGGCTTTTGGGATCAATCAACCAGTGTTCGTCGACAAAGTGAGAGGAAAGTGATTCTAAAATAACATGTGATCTTCCAATATCCGCAGAGTTATTTAGCCTCCAAGTGCTCTAATTACGGGGCATACTTAGGTAATGGAAGTTTTGTTTAAAAACAACTGAAAATTGACAGACTCTTTTGTAGAAATGAACAATAAAAGAAAAACAAAGAAACCAAAACATCCGAACGCGGCGAACCACGTTGGGAAGGGAGGGGAGGTGGGGTGACGTTATACGGGCGCGGTGTGCGCAAACTCCCAATCGTTAATTTCAACTAAGAAATCCATCTCTGCCATTTGGATTCAAATCACACCTTCAAATCATCCCTCGTTTTGTATGTAACATTTACATCATGCTATAACAATGCAGCCGATCAAGAGCATGTACGTGTACTTTGGAGGCCGTTGCAAATACCGCGGTTAGTTGGACAGCGGTCTCTAGTAATGTTTCGTGGAAGTCCTCACCGGCTTCGATTACCCGCCGAAAACAAGATGCCTAGTGCAACGGTTCCCTACCTTTCGTATCACTTTTTTTTTTTCGGGAGGGGGGCGGGGGAGAGTACGGCTACACGTGGGCTAGGGCTTGTCATATCGGAAACCTCAATTTAACGAATTTTCGGAAAAACAACAAAAATGTTCGTTATATCGAGGGCTGGTTGATGAATTTTTTTTTTTGTGGTGTGACGTCGCGCTACCCAGCATTTCGGGATCGGAATGATGACTAACAATAACATTTGGGCTTTAATGTTTATATGAAGCTGCAGTACGCTGCAGAGGTCTGTACATTGCTACAGCACCTTGTTTTTAAAGCACGGAGGACAAATTTCAGTGGAACAAGAGTCTCAGAAACACTTTCAACTACAAGAAGCCTTTTTGTGACTAATAAGAGACAAAGAGGATAAAGCGGATTTGTAGCTTTGTTGATAGTGTCAGTGTCGGCATTCGTGGGATTTATGATAGTCACAAATCTCGTTGTTTTGTCATTGCGTTACTGGCTATCTTAGAATTTTTTATCATACTGACGCATATGTACGTGGTGGCCATTAAGTAATTGCGTTACTGGCTTTATTATGGTCGGTAATAATATATACCATCCTACCAATTAAGTGGCTTCAAGAAATGCTCGTCTGTATAGACGAACGAAATTACGAATTTCGCCGGTATCTTAACGCCGTCGGCATTTATAATGAGCTGTTAACTGTGATGTTGTTCTACTGTTATAAAATTGAAGGATTCTGTTTCTTGTTAGTCTGCTTCACGTTTGTCTTTTGTCATGTGTTTAAATTTGTTCGTTATATCGGGGTATATTATACGTTTGGGCTTCTGGATTGTTTTCGTTTTACAAGGATTTCGTTATATCGAGGTTCTTTCCTATACATTTTACCGTAACTTTGGTCGGGCTGAAGACTATCGTTCGTTACATCGAGGAATTCGTTATATCGAAGTTCGTGAAATCGAGGTTCCACGACGCTTTAAGTTGTAACAGGCCTCGGAGACTAGAGCAATTCTGGTTTGTGGTTCTTCTGGCTCG